GGCTTTAAAGTCGAGCGGCGACTCGTTGTGGCCCATCATCCAATTCACCATGTAGCCTCCATAACTCGCTCCTATTTTTTCACGCATAGGAAGGTCCCCAATGTAAGTCTGTGCACCTGAAATAAATTGGGGCCACAGCCCGTTATTAAATCGCATGGGACTTGCCTAAAGCTGCTGTACGCGATCCATCAATCTCGGCATAGGTCTTCAGTAGATACTGATATCCTGCGACTAGATCCTGTAAGACAATATCTGTCAGATTTTTCGAGTTCAAGAATAGAGACATTCGACATTACCTTGTAAGGTTTTCCTCCCCAGTCTTGCTTGATTGAGTCTGTAAATTTCTACAGAGGAAGGAGCAAGACAGGATATTAATAATCAAGAGGTAGGGGCAAATGTGTCTCAATTTACCTGCCCATATCCAGTGCTGCCTGTGGGATTGATCATGGCGACTATGTATCCCGCACCGGCGAAGGTGTTGGCGTTCCATCGTAAGCTCCAAGTTTTGTCCCAAGCGCCTTGAGGACCGCCATGACTGATACGTGGGAAAAGAAGGCAGGACCACAGTTGTCAAGGTCTGGATACTTTCTATCTCAACAAGTCACTCCATATTCAAACAGAAAGACGTACATTAAGAACATTAAGGGCCACTTCTGGCCCAGGTCGGCTACAAACCCTGGCGGTCTGATCAAGATCCCGTGCACCGATCGATTCTCGGCGCCGTGGAACCAAAAGTCTTCACCTTCATCGAGCGTAGTCCCGCTAAGATCACACAAAGAGCCAACCTTTGTGCATTTTGTGCAGTGGTCGGGAAGGGCCAGGTCCAGGATGTAGGGAGTCGGACCAAAGGCCAGTGAAGACATTGTCAACAGTAATCGGGCTGCCGGCTTCTCTGCGTCTTGCGCCGACTTTTTGCCAAGATACGCTAGGTAGGATGCCGAATTCTCGTCGGTAAGACATTCAGGACCCTCGCTGGATTCCAGAGAAAGATAGAAAACCTTCACACGTCCATGCTCCTAATAAATGTTTGTCAGGCTAATTTAGACATATCTTTTCACTGCTATTCTCGCTTTCACTCACTTCTGCTAGCAGATAAAGCTCGTCATCGTCCTTTCCCCAGATGATTTTCGAAGGAGATCTATCCCAGCTTTTGGCAAAGTAAGACCGCGTGCGCGACTCGAGGTTGTAGACAACCACTTGGTTCTGGTCGGATTCATAACCATCACAGTTCATTTCCAACCAGGCCACTTTACCTTGATCACATCCATTGGCGTTCTTCGCTGAAGGCGAGAAGACGGGCTGTTTGTAAATTAATCAGAAATTCACATCAGTGATTTAACACGTTTTGATCATCAGGGGTCTCTGGGGTTCTTACATTTGATGTTCCTCCTTGGTCGCCAGTGGTTAGCTGAAGCGGCTTTGGAAGTAATTTTGTTCTCGGATAAAGGGGCATGATGTAGATATTTTGACGGGTATGCCAAGCTACATACAACAGAAGAAAAAATCAACACCGTCTCGAAGATACGTGAATGATCTCTTGCTCCTATGAGCCTTACCAGGGTTAACATCAGGGTCTTTCGCCGTCACGACTGCTGAAGAGGAGGACAGATCAAAATCGGAGCTCGACCCGGATGGACCCACTGGAACACTCTGAACGAAGGCAACGTGGTTAGTGAGCTGTGTGACGAGAACTTGTGGGTCAATCGGTGTAAGATTGCTGACCAAGCTTGGAAACAGGGATCGTGGCTGATGAGAATCCGGAATAAACCAGGTATGGTCCTCCTTTTGTTCGAGGTCGATGACGAACAATCGGGCCTCTTTCCCATGTTGATCAATCCATTCGTCCCAATGACGCACATAAACAGAATCGTAGGTTTGTCCTGTCGAGCCTTCGGCGGCCTCCTCGAACGAGCGTTCCAATTTATGTAAATTCTTCAGAGCTTCGGTGTCGTAGGGAGGATAAACATCAACAGAGAAGCCCAGTACCCCCGCGGACGATGAGGAGAAGGACTGAAACTTGATGTTTCCGATCGGGACGGGCAGAGAGCCAACCCGATAGGCCTTCTTATCCCCTTTTCCTCCTATCCGAATCGCCCATAACTCGATTCCTTTCCCCTGGTCATCAGCGAGTTCTTCAAGTCGTTTTTTGAGATGTTCCCGGGCGAGTTTGGTACTGATGAGCGGGTCTAGATCGGGACCAGCTTCCTGCGCCCCTGGTGGACGGAGGTATAGGATCGAGTTGGAGTCCAACCAGACTGCTTCGGCGTAGGCTAGATCGGTGAGTACGGTGGTGTGTGATGATGCTTGTTGGTCCTGTACTTGAGTGAGGTCGATGGTGATGAGGGAGGTGACTGTGGATTGTCTTGCGTGGTTGTAAGTCTTGATTACCGAGAGAGCTGACTGTGCTGATGGGTTTGGGATGTATGGACCGGGTTTGGGTAGTTCGGCGAGTGAGACTGGCTCGAGTATGTTGGTTGAGTGGTTGTTGACCATGGTTTTATTTGTGTGGAGATGGTCAATCAGAAGAAGTGGGAACCAAGTCGAAGAACGCCATATCACGATTTTATACCAAGTGCGTCATTCAATGACGTCATCAGGGGCATTTTGCTCTATTTTACCACCAACGCGCATACATCCATACACTCAACTTTTCTAGCCCAATAGAGCCCAATTCACAGTTGGCAATTATAGTTGAATTCAAGCGCCAAATTGGGAGTGGTCAATAATTTTGGCAGCCCCCTTCTTGAGGTTTTAAGCTGAAAGATATTCATCGAGTGCAGAAAATGGTTTCATGAGGTGAAAAAGGTCATGATAGCTTTGACTAACGTAAAATTTGAAGCACCCTGGAATATCATCAACACCAGCTCCTTGAGACCCAGTCACTCACCACACTTCACATTTTTACTAAAGCCTCAATGACTAAAAAAAATTACCAACAAATAGATTGGTGTGTATACAAAATTCAGGCTAGTTTTCTTGGAATCTGAAGATAGCTGATACATGAGACTAGTTACCTAGTAATACTAGATAAGAAGATGCTGTAGATGACTTTACAGAGTACAAACAATCACAAACAGTCATACAAAACACAAACAATCTATGTGCAATTTTGAAATTTTGATGTGGAATTGGATAAATCTACAAGAGGAGACCATCTCTCTTCTCCAATTTTTTTTACTAAAAGTATCAGAAAGTGAAGGAAAGGTGATCCAGAACAAGATGTTTGAAGTACACAAATGGTTATCAGCAAAAAAAAATTCTTAAAGTCTAAGACGACTTTGAGAGAAAGAACCATTGAGTATCATTCAGGACCAAATTGATCATTGATTGTAAATACATCACAATGCAATTTCTTCCTAAAGACTAAGCTGTTTTGGGTTTTGCTATCATGATAAACAATTGTCCATTTAATCCAACTTGCCCTCCTAAAATATTAATGCTGCTCCCAGGCTGTTAAGATCACAAAATTTCAGCTTCCATCTTTCTAGATAACTGGTATTCAAAATTTCACCATAGATGTCAAAACATAATTTTGTAAGTGAATTTTGGCACTAAACTGCTTATAGCAGAATACCTGCCAAAATCCATCTGTCCAGTAGTATGTAGTTGAATTTATGGTTCAATTTTGAATACCACCACATTTAAAAAACTTACTTTATTTTGGCACACAGTGGTAATTTTTTGAACACTTGTCTTCAACACATCTTTATTTCTGTTCCAAACAAAAAAGAAAAAACAGAAAACATTTAGTGAAGTATTTAAGACTGATGTTTTCATAATTTGTAGAATAATTTTGAAGCACTAACACATTGATAGGTATAGTAGTAAAGGCACTATTAACCCTTACCTAATTGGATGAATTGGTTTTATTCCAGGTGAAAATTGGAACATAATAATATTAAGATAAGAATTAGTGAATTGGGTAAATTTTGAGTGTCATCTTTGGAAAAATGGATTTACCTGGCATGTTTTGTAAACACTGTTGATTCCAAAATTTTTATCCTGAGTTAACAAGCCTGTTGATTTGTCTAATCCAATCCTATCAATGGCCCTGATTTTTTAATAATATTTGATAGTCAGAGGTATAAAATAAGTAAGGCGTCTTTATGTCTTCCAAATAATAAACCACAAACACTTTACAATCTTCTGTTTTTATCACAGATGGGGTTGTGTTGTTGCATTTTGGTTGGTTTATTGGATCAGTACCTATCAAGTTTTTTGTAACACGTGCTACAAAGGTTGGGGGCTGGCTTGTGCCGTCCTATAGAATTTGAATTGAAACCCTGGTCAGATATATGGCTACAAAGATCAAAAGTGTCAAATGATAAAGGTACACACATATCCCGGGGCACAAGTTTTCAAAATGTCATCTATGGCACTATAAATGTCTGCTTGTTTAACACCTCTAAAATTTGAAAGAAAAAATCCTTATTAAAAAACTTCCAATTTGGAAAATTGAGAATCAAAAGCTTACTCACTCAACTGAATTGAGGATTTGTATCTGGTGTGACCAGAGAATTATGATCAATGACACTGGAAATTTGACCACCCATTGAAATAGATGATAGTGAATTCTTGGAATTGGAGGTGAACTTACCATGCATGTTCCTCTACCAACTGCAATTTCTAATTCACCTTTGCCAACTACTCCTTTTCCATTATCTCCATTTACAAATTTGATTGAGTTACGAGCCCTGTTTACATATAAAGAATATGTAAAATCATGGAAAATCAGATTACACCACACTACTTGTCAGTAGAGAAAAATGGTGCTGGTTGGCTGGAAAGATATTAAAGGATGGGGAGATTGTGAAAAAGACGGAGCATACGTAGTACAATCGGCCAAGCTGAGGTGGTACTGGTTGGTGCAACTTGCCTGACTGGAGACTAGAAAACTATGGGCAAGCAAGCTGATCAAGATCAAGAAGAATTTACAAGCATCCATTTTTACTGTTTCTAGTATGTATGTATTATTGAACTTATTCTGAGTTGATGGTGAGTTAAGGGAAGGGAAGGGAAGGCTTTGTTCGAGCCCGGTCTGGCTTACCACACTTAAATAGCCTCCCATAAGCGGAGCCAAGGGGTTTGAAACTCGAGCACTGGTGCTTGTTGTTAGAGTTTGTTGCCATGGCCCTCCGACAAAGGCCTACCAGAGCGGGGAAGAGGAAACCACATTAGCAAACAAACAGGAAGCCTTCTCGGTTCTCACGCCTACACAACTGAAGTTGAATTTCAAGGAGTTATACAAAACACCAGTTACTTGAGACATCAATGACTAAATGAATCGTGGCTGCTGCAACCCAAAATACCCGTTTCATTGCATGGTCTGGGGTGCCAGCTGCCGAGTGACCATTTTTTCAGATCCTTCCAATGTCATAACGACCGACGGGAACATCTCCGGAAACTGGGACACAGATATTTTTTGGGGCCCCCTTCTCCAGGTTTCAAGCTGAATAATACTCAAGTAGCAAAATGCAAAGAGTAAATAAATTAAAAAGGAAAATTGAAAAGAAAATGGAGCAATCATGCTGAAGGAAGATAACCGCTATAGATAGAGTACAAGGAGAACAGAAGGGACAGATGAAGGAAGAGACGATGGATTTGGAGTTCGGAATCAACCATTCCCTAGTAGACCCATCCTACTACCAAGTTGCGTGTTCAGAGACACAAAGAGCCCCTTATCTTTGCGAATCAATAACTAACATTAACATTGACCTGCTGGTCTATGTTACAAGAAGAAAACTTATTGAAAAATTAAGAAGAATGTGAAGAAGCAGATGAAAGTGAAAGAAAAGTTAATGTGAGTATAAAGATTATCGCTCGAGGAAGAGAAATATCTTCGGATATTCGAAAAGCTTTTTGTAGCCATGATGCAGTGGACGACCTCATTCATTGAGGATAGAATTGAAGGAAGCCGGATTGACTCCACAAGACAAACGCCGGAATCATTTCTTTGGTACTCATATCGCAATTCGAAACCTGTTGCAAAAAATTAACAACTGATCCGCGGTGTTCCGCTCTCTAAGATAAGCACACCTTCCAAACTTGGTTAATTTTTAAAATGAGTGGAACGTCGCGATTGAAAAGTTGTTGCGGCCACCCCCTTTTCTTGCTCGCCCAACGCCGCAATCACCGCCTTGTCATCTACTGGGTTTCAATAACGAAACCGCTTCCTTTCCTCCGTCGAGAGATTATAGGGCACCTTCATCATAGCGATATGCAGCTTTACCTGCTTTTGGTGAAGCTTGCTGGTAACAAGAAGTTATTAACCCCTGCGGATGGTTGTAGGTCGTCCGTCGCGCGGCGCAGCTTCTTTTGTCATCAGTGGTTTCCAGTCCTCTGAGTTTAAACCAATTCAAAAAGCATCCAAACAGCCCATCCAATCATGCTGGAAGCTTCAATTTCAAGAATGATGCAGCTAAAAAAAAGAAAAAAGCGATTCACACTCTGATCAATTTAAGTACAATTTGGTCAGCCACCTTGACCATTGATAAATATGGACCACAAAAATATCTGTGAAATAAATTCAAAGCATGCTTGCAGGGGCCAACTCATCTCAGCATTTTATACAAAAATTTTAGATTTCATTGTTTTTAACAACTCATTTTTATACATGCAAAAAAAAATTGGGTATGTAGATGAAAAATTTACAATTTGGTCCTAGGAACATTGCCTGGTTGAAATACAAATGGTAAAAACAAAGAATTTTTGTGGGAAAAAAATTGTCCTTGAATTAAGTCCAAAGGCTCCTTTGTCCTGAACCACTGCACCAGACTATAAAGATGATCTCATATTAATTCCTATATATTTATCTTACAGAAGAAAAAAATAACCTACATTTTGCTTGCAATAATCTGTAATGACAAGACTCAGTTTTCTCAATTGATCATGGTTTCTGTGTCACAAAAAAGGAAGGATATAGCAGTTTATTTATTTCAAAGTAAATTTAAAGTATTTGGAAGAAATTCTTCCCATACTTACAGAGTAATGTCCAATTCATTGGATGATCGAATCCGAACCTATTGAAATGAAAAGGTTTTTTTTGCATGCAAGTTTCAAATCAGCAAAAGAACCTTAAAATTTGATATTTCAAATGTCTTCTTTGAAAATATTGACTTACTAAACATGATCCACTTGCAGTCTCAATTGTTCCACGTGATTGAGCTAATATATTTTGAGGGCTGGCTTTGTTTATTTTGATTTTACCAATAGCCCTATTTTTTGATAAGAAATAATATTTAGATGGAAATCAAGTGTAAGCATAGTTACTTTAATTTACTGTCTCCAAATAATAAGCAACAGACTCTATACAATCTTTTGATTTAACATTTTGAATTGGCTTTTTATTTTGCAGAAAGGCTTGTTGAGCTTCACATTGCTACCAAATATAGGTGTATCAGGTTTAGTCTCATTAATGTATATTGTAAAGGCTGGCTTTGGAACGATTCCAGTCTAATGAGATCAATTCCACATATGGTCAGTAAATTGGCTAAAGGAATTAAGCAGATAAGCTCCTAAAAGTGCTTACAAATCTGTTAGGACACATTGCAAAAACGTCCCACATGGCTAAACCTATGTCTGTCTTTGTGGCAGCGCTGATAACAGAAGAATTTGGATGTGGATCAATTCACTATGCCTGACTTGCAATATTATATGTAAACTTGACAAATGGAGCTTTACTCACCCTGAATCTGTAGCGATGATTTCAATCTAATGGAAAAACAAAACCATTCTTAACATAATGGCCAGTAGGATTGGATAAGTATCAAACAAGATATGAGAGAGCCCCTGTATACTTACAAGGCACCCCACAGAGGCAACAGTGATGTTTTTTTCACCCGCCATCACAGCGTCACCAGTCGAAAACTTAATCTTGTTAAAAGTGCTGATTTAAAAAAAACATTCATAGTAAAACAAGAGGTGATGATCAAAACGTTTGCAGTTAAGCCAATATGATGCCAGTTGGTCACAACGGAGTCACAGTAAGGGCCTCACTTTGCACATTCATTGGGGTCCACTTTTCAATCAGTAGAACACTTTTTTTCGGGCTTCTGGCTGCAGCGGGATTGTCAGCCTTAGAGCCAGCCAAGCTGGCCAAAAGACTGCTTAAGTCCTCCTTTTTTCATTCAAGTCCCTACTGTAACTTTTTCATCTTAATCTTTTATTGCATTCTGACTTCAGAAATGAATTCCTCTGTTAATTATAACCTTAGTCACCCCTACACACTTTTACACTACTCCTCTCCTTCACAGACTTTGTAATATTTCACCGTACCATTGTGAAATATCTACCAAGTTGGAATTCCAACTCTCTACCACATGTACATGTTGTGATTATGTAATCCAACTCTGAAAATCCTCTCAGTAGACACTGAGTTCGCATTTTCAGGATCTTCAAGCTTCAGACCCACCCAGAACCAACTCAGACCAGAAAACCAGCATACCTCAACTTGGATTCACCGCCGTATCATCGCCGTGTTATTGTTTGGAGTCCTTTACTCTTTGGAATCTTCCCACTCTCAGTGTCAGGATCACCAAATACTACGTCATTCCTTCAAGTTCAGCTTGCATCTTTCTGCTAAGTTCCTTCTCTGTCTCTCTGAATGAACTCTTCATTCTTCTTCTACTAAACCTCTGCCTCAAACATCATCTTATCAAATCAAGTCATCTTAATTCTCTGTTTGGTGGTATAACTAAAAACCACATAGGTTTCCCTTTAAAGACCCTTGATCTTAGATCTAAAAAATAGTGGCCGGATTGATTTATCAATACCAGGAACCCTTCTCAGTTTCAGTTGAGTTAGGAGGCCTAGATTTATTCCGCTATAGAACAGCCATCCTTTCAAAGGAAAGTAAGACTGAAGTAAACCTTGATCATAAAACAAATAAACAATAAAAAATATTATTCATTTCATTTCTATTTTCTTTCTCTTCCTCTCTCCTTTTCTCTTATTCTAGTTGTATTTCTTTATCCCCTTGAAATACATCTAGAATTGCCCCCCTTTTCTTGTGTCCTGCTGTCACTTCTGAGACCCAGGCTCACAGGGATAGAGAGCTGCAGGCCAGCAAGCTTAATATGATGAAGAAGAATTTATAGGCAGGCATTTCTGTCGTGGTTCCTGTGATTTCTCAGTGTGTTGATTGTGGGATACAATGAGATGGCCGGACAGCAAACATATAACCCGGTTATAAACAATCTTTTTCAATGATCCAGTCCAGGGGGTTGAACTTGAACCTGGAGTACTGTTACTCACTGTAAGGAGTGCATTGTCATGGTCCCCCAGCGAAGGCCCATTTCAGTATTACAGCAGGGAGAGGAAACCAACTGATAATTAGTGATCACTCTCTTACTGCTGTTTAATCAAAGTCGGCTTTCAAGCAGTCTTCCAAAACCCCATAAAAACCAAGAGGTTAATGAATGATAAGTAGGTGCTACTTACCACCCGACATCAATCAAACAAAAGACAGCTTTGAAGCATTGCACAATTGCGGGTGCTATCTGCCAGGATCCTTTGCATTCCAGAAAGACTCACGGGATTAACCGTTGGGTGCGGAGGTGAAATTTTATGTATTGGCAACCTGATGCAGCGTAAAACCAGCTTTTAAGTCCGGCTTGTTGGGACTCGGGAACCGATGCTCGAATGCTTGGGGGCGTCTCTAGCAGTGGTGGGCCACTACGCTTTTGGCCCAAAAAGCGTAGTGTAGTGGCGCTTTTGGCCCAAAAAGCGTAGTGTAGTGGCGCTTTTTTGCATCAAAAAAACTTAGTGTTAGCTTATTTTTAGCGGTTTTTTGCTACGCTACGCTGCGCTACAGAGCCTTTAGCGGCAAAAGTGGCCAAAAACCGCTAAAAAGTGCTGTAGCACTGTAAGACTCTAAAAAGTGCTGTAGCACTGTAAGACTCAAAAAGTGGTTGTAAGACCCTTTTTGCTGAATGGAGAAGGGGATGA